ATTTCTTAATTTCCAGCCTGCAGTACTAACCAAGAAACCCACAGATTTCAGCCTGAAACTGCTGTATGATTTACCATTCACTAGTATAATTCTTAGAAGTTGACAAAACATAAAACCTGTAAACGGCAAAAGAGCAAAGCTTCTTGATCCAGACACAAACAGGCCAGATTTCAGCAATGAGTGCAAATTTAAGAAAAATGTAGGTTTGGATTTCCAAATGCCTGTTTTAATGTCACTGGATACACAGTTTGAATTTGAGTCACTACAGAAATTTTAAGTTGCCTTAGAGATCCTACTTAAATACAAGAGGCTCATCAATTTAAATCCATCAAAATATTTCCGTAACACCTGGTGCAACCTACAAGAAGCATACATACAAACTCAGCTCCTCTGCAAATCTGGAAGCTGTTTCTCCTCCTTGTCACTGTATCCTCGAACAGCAAATTCTCTTTTCCATATTTTAGTTTCAACTTGCTCGTTGCATTTAAACTGCGATAGAGAAAGGTTATTTCAACAGGAGGAAGGGGGGGGTTGGAGCCCAGCCCTGTGCATAGGGTAACTGGCCACCCACCTTGTCAAATATTGCCCCCTGCAGCACCTCCTGCAAAAACACCCGCTGGCCACTGGACAAACCAACTGCTTTATTCCTGTAGGTTTTCCAGCTTACTGGACCACTCTGAGCCTGCAGTAATAGTGCATTTGTTATTTTATTCATTCTTAAGTTTTTCTTTCTCATGAGACTGACTGTCTGTTCCCCAGGGGTCCTCTCCTGGTTGCTCCAAACACTATGACTCCATGCTCCCACGCCAACACAGAGGTATTTTACTTCTACTGACTACTTGGTCCAGAGTACAGAGGACTATATTCTCCTCTCCTCAAACAAGGCACAGAACAGTAGTTGAAAAAATCACGGGCAGCTTTCTCCCCTGCAAACATCAGCACTGGAATTTCAAACCCTTAAGAGATTAAAAAGATGTTTGGTGAATGTCTGTTTTCTTTGAACTCAAGCTCTGTTCTTGCTTTGCCTTAGAGACGTGTCTCTGCTCCTCAGATGCTCCTAGTATGCAACTTCCCTCATTACACAGCAGAAATCTTACTAAGTGCATTATTGGTGAAGTCAAGTCAAACAAATTAAAATGACAGTTCTGTTTTAAAATATAGAAATAGAAAATCATTAAGTCCTCCTGCAAGTTTCAGCAGTCAAAGCAAACAGAAAGAAGGCCTCTAAGTGTTTGGGGAAGGATGCCACTGAAGTTAGTGACAATGTGTTGGGATTGGAACCGGTAAATGTGCAATATAAGAAATAGGAAAAGGAAATATTTAGAACCAAGACATGCCAAAACTGCAATCAGCAAATGGAAGGCTAAAACTGATGAGCAAATCTGGATGCTCTTTTTATTATTTATTTTTATTGTTTAAGCTGTGCCATATAACCATCTTGTTACAAGAAACAATCAATAACAGCTCCTAACCACGTCACTGCAGTGTTGTGAACACACCTCCACCCACATCCCTTGTGACATGAACTCAGCTGAAGAGATGTGTACAATGCTGCTGAGCAAAAGAGGTGCTGTCCCACTCCTGCCTCTGGATGGTAAGTGCCTGCGGACAAAAACTCTCACATCAACCTGAGGTTTGAAAAATAGGGCTGCTTAAAACCAATGGGGATTTGTAATACCAAATACATGACAAAGACTAAAATTTTAGAGCGTGTGGGGGAATGGAAATACAGCCACTAAGACTGTCTCAAAAACTGCAAGTGCTAGAAGTGCCCAATTATACAGTAGAGACAATGGTGTACACAAGAACAAAGTCATTGCATCAAGACGTAACACAAGCAGCTGGTGAAGGGGAGCCTCCCTAAAACACGAAATCCACTGCTGAGCTGCAAGACAGCACCACAACAGTGGGTACTGCAAAGCCACAGCCTGTGAGGGGCCAGAGGGATGAGCATGCATAGGTGATAAGCTGTAGGTGGCTGGCAGGGAGAGCAGCTGGACATCACTGCCAAACTCTCATGCACATCAGCAAAGGCCACTGAAAGCAACACATCATTTGCTGCCAGTAAAGCAGAGAGACCACAGGTAAACGTATGAGAAGCAAAGCAGCCAGGACACATGTATCTCTGTGAAGGACCCAAAGCAATGGGAGGTGTTGACAGCATAAAACATTTTTGTTTAAGGATAGAGGATGAAAAATAATTCCTTCATAAATTATTCTCTGTTCTGGAGGAAGAGTGAATAGACTTGAAGGACAGGTGATGTCTCTGAAATATGCAAATAGAGCTGAGCTGGTCCAAGCAATTACCTTTCCACTGCCTGGAACTTCAGATTGAAAGGAATGACTCACAAGAACAAGAAACAAGAGATGCCCTAAAAGGTAGAAGATGACGAAGAAAGAATGCATCAAGAGAAGAATAGAGACAAGCATGGAAAAGTAGTCCTGACTTCCTACTAACAGCTGCTCTTGGGAAAAGGAACAAAACAACACACAATGCAAAACACAGTAAGACCCACGCCAGCATAAGAAGACCTAACTGCAAAGCATCCAGGCAATTGTGACTGTCAGTTCTAGACTTCTGGGTTCTACATAAATACAGCAAGGAGATTCCTGCAGTTTTATGAAAGTAAAGACAGTGGATGTCACCTCAATATCCTTTAGATTATCTGCTATTTTAAAGATTTCCTAGCAAACAAAATTGCTATATGTTCATTTATTTCCAGGTTATAGACAAAGCTCTGAAAGAAAAGATTAGGCATGACTA